AAAAAATGTATATATATATATATATATATATATATACATTTTTATTCAAATTAGTACGAGGATCGAACCTTAAACTGTCGAAAATAAATGTGGTTAAAATGCCACCTTTAGTGATTTGAGTAGAATTGACTTCCTGAAAGAATGACAACTCTTGCAGATATATTTAATTGGGTTTAGCAAAAAAGTATTGTGATTGTTGCTATTTGCGAGTCAATTTCAAGAAGGAAACATGAGAATAATGCCGTTCTCATCATGTATTGATGCAAATGCAATGGCACCAAAATTCACAATTGGACGTACAATAAACGTGATTTTGATAGCTTGACCAATCTTTCCAGGTTACACTGATTCTTATCTCTGAAAGTGACTACACACATCGCCCACTATTAAAAAGGAATATTTATAATATATATAGATTTTTACTACTCAATTAAATATATATATGTTAGCTAAACCTTAATGGAACTTTTAGAATGAGTGAAATATACCTCCACCATAGAAAAAGCACAGATCATGCTGTATAGCACTCTCTACCTGAAGGACCAAAGCACAAGATCATGCTGTATAGCACTCTCTACCTGAAGGACCACTAATATTTTTTCAGATATTGAACCCCCGTCACATGTCATATAAACATGAGTTTAAAATCACATTTTACATTCCGTACAAGGGTTTTTTATCGCACAAATCATTGAATAATTTTGCCACACTACAAAGAAAAGAATATTTTTTTCTTAAAAAATTAAAATGGATAAATAAATGAATATGTGGTACATATATGTATAACCCCCAATTACACTCTCATGACCCAAAAAAAAAAAAACAAGAAACAAAAAACAAAAACAAAAACAAAAACAAAGATAATTGGATTCGCTCATAAAATGATGCTAATACTTTTAGGACCTACCGTCCAACTTTATTAGATACTAATACTATGTTAATATTAAAGTGCAATAATAATGGGGTAGTTTTCATGCTATTTTCAGGTGGGCTCTTTTCATTCAAGAATCTCATCGTAGTCCACTTTGAGTACATATTTCCAAATATAAATAAACACTTGGACTATTTAGAACAAATAGTGGAGGCCGGCGTCAGACAACACAAACTCACTTATAGTGTTTCAATTATTATTATCACATTCGTAAAAGTTGGTCCCACGCACTCAAACCAGATGTGATATATGCTTAGACTTAGGTTATTCGAATTGTTTGCATGTCCAAATATTACCACGTGTAGTACTTCGATAGCTCAAAGCAATTAAGAATCAAAAAAAGTCTGTAAGGCCTGTAAACAAACATACACCAAAAGTTTTATGTAACTAAGATGGGACGTTGAGTGAATAAAATAGCTCTTATTATTAACAGAAATCAAACATCAGGTTCCTATTTTCAATTTTTTACCACGTTATTCATTATTTTGAAAGCAATAAAAACTTGTAAGTTAAATCATTTCAGAACACCAAACATCAGCATCCACAATTTTTGTTTTTTTAATTGTTTCTCAGTAAGTCAGTCCACTCTATTTCCTTTTTTAATCAATTGATATATAGCAAACACGTTGTAATTTAATTTGCTCCAAATTTAAGGTACATTGAAGAAGATGATCTGATGAGATTCCTGAAGAGAGTAGAAATCCACACCATTTTCCCACTCTTCGAAGGCGCCCTCGAGACCGGCAAGATCACAAAATCTGCTTTCAGAAACTGGGTGGTAAGCAAAAAAAGCCCTTTTTCACATCAATTTCAGACAAACACAAACAAATTCCATTCTTCAAGTGAACCTCAACCTGATATTTTCTTAAAAAATGAAAAAATCGTTAATCAATCCGTGTTAACTTCAGGTAAGGGCTTACTATGAGCGTAAGTCGCTGGCCCACTCGCTGAACGACACAAAGACGGCCGTGCAGCAGCTTCACAAGGTGGCAAGCGCAATTGTGAGCGTGATAATAGTCGTGATTTCGCTCATGGTCATGGGAGTTGCCTCCACAAAAGTCATAGCCTTCATGCTGACTCAGCTTCTCCTTGTCGGCTTCACCTTCCAGAACATGTGCAAGACCGTTTTCGAGTCCATAGTCTTCGTCTTTGTCATGCACCCTTTCGACATCGGTGACCGTTGTGTGATCGATGGAGTCCAGGTCAAACACACTCTCAAACAAATTATTAAATAATAAACACAAAAAAAAAAAAAAAAATGATGAGGAAAGCATTTCATCGATTGGTTGTGTGTATATGTGCAGCTGATAGTTGAGGAGATGAACATATTGACCACGGTTTTTCTAAGATATGACAATGAGAAAATCTACTATCCGAATTCGGTCTTGATCACGAAGCCCATTAGCAACTTCTACCGAAGCCCGGAAATGTGCGACACCATCAATTTCACAATCGACGCCTCCACGCCAACCGACACCATATTCGCACTCAAGAAAGCAATACAAACGTATGAAATTCAAACAAACCTTTGTTTTCTCCTTGACGTCTTTTGATATTGAAAAGAAGAAAAATAAAGCATTCTTTTTGACTGAATACAGTTACATTGAGAGCAAACCAAAGTACTGGATCCCGAAGCACTCTGTTATAGTGAAAGAAATAGAGAACATGGACAAGTTGAAGATGGCTTTAGGCGTACAGCACACAATCAACCATCAAAACTATGGGGACAGGAATATTCGAATAACAGAGCTGATACTCGAGTTGAAGAAGATGTTCGAGAACCTAGACATTACGTACCATCTTCTTCCTCAGGAAATTCACCTCACACAGGTAAACATGGGCAATTGGAGGATGCCATTGCCTTGAATGAACGAATACCATTTATGCGATTTCTATGTATGTTTGCATTGGTTGATCTCTTATCTCTAGGAACTTGTGTGTGTAGAGAGGTTTTTATTTTTTAAATGTAAGTGCCATTTGAAATACCTATTTATTACTAGCTCAAGCGGTACCCTTCACAAGGAAGGAAGGGCCATAAATCTTTGATGTAATCACCTACCCACGACTCCACCCCTAACCATTAGAAAAAGGTCCCTAACTGTTAAAATGAAAGTCCCACTGTAACATGCAGATTTCCTAAACTACTTCTAGTTTTACTTGGTTGGGTGAAAAAGTGAAAAACGTTTTCAATGCATGGGCACAATTTTATTCATCTGAATAATGGAAAGAAGTGAACAGGAAAAACTCACTATGATTTCATATTCCACGAATGAAATCAAGAAAGCAATTTAAATACCCACAAATGCTAGCAATAACAGGCTAACAGCATAAACAATGAATTAGTCTACATCATAACCGCAGCATCTTCACACTGCTCAATGGAAATTCAAGCAACAGAAGCATCTTGAAAGTAGTTACAAGCATAAATGACAACATTTCATTTAGCAAAGATAAAGCCTCACATCTACTAACGGCTGGAGCCACTGAACTATTTTCATAACTGAGAATAGATAAATCTTTAGAATGCAGAAAGCAACACAAGAATATACCTTATTTTACGGCGTGCGAGTATTTACACTCTGAGATTTTTGCACTCGAGGATGGACCCGTAAGATTGAAATGCCACCACGAGCATAACTAAGCTTTCTCAGTCAACAGCCTCATTTCGCAATCGTAAAGAAAAAAGCCCCCAAGTCCAAGATATATACTGGTTGCCAAACAGAATTATCCATTAGGAAAGGAAACATATCAATAAGTACTCTCTCATTGTCCATATGAATATATGATCATCTAAAAGTCGTTACAGTGGTAGTGCATGGAAACGAATGCCTAGACACTCAGAAATTGTAAGCCTATACGAATTCAAATTGTACTTTTTCCTAGAAATAATCCCAGAAGCTCAAAGGGTCATCCACACAGCTTTGAAATGGTATACGATCAGCTTAAACAACTTATATGATGCTACAATGCAGGAAGTAAACAGACACATAATCCAAAAACAGCAGAAATGAATAATCTGTACCCAGCGTATGTAGAACACGATCCCGAAACTGGGTTGATCGAGTAAATATTATCCCACAGGGTACTTTCGCTGTAATTTTCGCAATGCACAGCGAAGAGTGAATCATAGAGCACGAACCTAAAGCCGTCTCTAGATTATCAGAAATTATACCGACGGCTTGGGGCATTTTGGGCTTGATGGGCATCTGGGTAATATTGCCATTGGCCGCGAATGCAAGCAAGATAAGGGGTCTGAAAATAATATGTGTAAATAAGAGGGTGGTTACGGGCGAATTTTTTGCCTAATCAATCACCTGCGAAATTTGGTTTTGTGATGAGCGGGTGCCATGATTTACAGAGGGGCTTAGAAATCAATTGGAAGCTAGATGACTATCTTTGTAATACAATACTAGAAAACTCTGGCTGTGCAAGCACAGCCGGCCCAAGGAGGCAAATTGATGGGCCCACGGATCTTTGAAATATGTAGGTGCAATATTGTACGTAAAAGGAATAGGGAAACACATGGGAATTGCATAGTAGGGTATCAAAAGAAACATAAGGTTTTAATTGTACTTACAGTCAATAAAATAAATAGAAGAAAGTGGCAATTCACAAAATATGCCATACATAAACACATTTACAGAATTGCTAAACATCTATTTTGAAATAGATGTTTGTAATTCTGTTAAGATGCTAAATAAACAAAAACCAGTTTAATGGCTGTCATGTTCAGCAAAAGGCTAAAACTTGGGTTAAAAGGTTTTAACCATCTTTGAGCGACTTTTCTTTGAAGGGTTTGTAGCAGGATTGTGTGTTGTTTAAAGGGTTGACTGTGATGATGATTGCGTTGTAGTTGAGCTGCTTGTTTGTGCGGTGACTTGATGGCTGTCGAAATTGATGTGTTTTTTGGTTGAGCTTTCTGGAGTGAGCACAGTTGGAAATTTTTCAATTTTCATGGCGACGGACTCGAGCACATTTTTAAGTGTTGGGCTGAAGAGACTTGGATCGGTTGCCTGTTTTATGGAAATTATTAATTATCATAATATGTTTTTTGAGCATGAATTTGACAAAGGTAGAATCTATTTTGTAATACCTTTGACGGTGTTGATGTAGAAGTTTCTTTGTCAGATGACTCTGCTGTAGATGTATTTCCATGAACCATCATCATTTCAATAGTGTAAAACTTGACCATTGTGTGGTAACCAGAGTCAGACTGTTTGATGAAGCAGTCAACTTGGTGCTGTGCGACTGATGCGGCAATTTTTTTAGTTAAGTCATGGCCCAGCATAAAAATTGTAATGAAATGTATCAAAATTGCTTTAACTGCTGCTTCATAAATATTTGAACTTTTTTCGAATGAATAAAAATTTTATTCTGTTAGCGTGACCATTTTTTCATGAATATATGAACAAATTATGTGATGATAACATTGACTTGAAACTTGCAATCAGTTGAGAATATGGAAAATAAATTGAAGAGCTTGTGTCCAACTAAAGAAACAATATTTCAGATTTTTGGGTTCTTACAAAGTAAAAGATTTTTGAAGTAGGAAAGTAAAAGGGGTAAGTAGTTAACTTTTTTTAAGAATGAGTTGGTACTTTACAGTATTGATATTTTTTAAAAAATACTGTAAAAATAGTTATGAAATTTCACGTGACCATTAGGTGATTAAAATTAAGTTGCGTAATTTTTTAATTATTAAGACTTAAACTATTTGAAATTTTTCATTCAATTATTAATAAAAATATTCGTGACATTTTAATTATTATTATTCTTATTTTATTTGAGCAATTAATTATCAAGTTGAGCGCTCTATAAACGGTTATAATTCAAAATTTTATAAATAAAATATTTTATTTATTGATATTATTCAAGATTCTTAAATACTTTTATGATTTTCTCAATAAAATTTAAGAGTTTATTTAACCGTAAGTATCCTATCAAATAAGATAACTGTTTCAACAACATTTATTTAATTTTACAAGTTTATTAATAAATATTAGTAAAATATTTAAAATCGATGTTGTTTATCTTCATAACGACCACAAACTATATAAATATTTTTTTTCAAAATAACATATAAAAAAAGAATAAATTATGTAATAATATGAGAGATAATTTTTTGAATAATTATTTTGCAACCTAAACTTCTAATCTAATCAATTTCTTTACGTAAATCCAGATTAGAATAATTTTATAAAATTATATAATACTAAAACCCGATCCAATTTTTTTCATTCGATATTAGTTGAGCAGCATGAATTTATTTTGAAAATATAATTTTCTAAGAATTAATTAAGATATCTAAATAATCATGATATGCCTATGCTGAAAATTAATTAATTTTTGTCAATAATTATATATCATATATCACCATTACTCATCTATTATTAATAACTATAAGTAATAAAATTAATTCATATATAAGTTTTAGGTGATAGACAATAGTTATTTGTACTTTTTATCCATCATTATCTCCAAATTAATTAAAAATATATAGTGAATCATGATATGCCTATATAAGTTGAAAATAAATTATTTTTACTAAGAATTTATATCGATATAGTACCATTATGCACCTATCTATTAATATGTATTATTACAATAAATCAACTTAAATATCTTTTTTAATATTTGATAATAATATTAATTAGAAAATTGTAATTATACATAATATAATATAAAGATGTACAACTATAATAGGTATAATAAGACATATGACAAAAAAAAGTTATATACTTAGTTTTATGCATTTTTTTAACAAATTTAAAAGTTATATATATATATATTTTGTCATATGTCTTATTATACCTATTATAGTTGTACATCTTTATATTATATTATGTATAATTACAATTTTCTAATTAATATTATTATCAAATATTAAAAAAGATATTTAAGTTGATTTATTGTAATAATACATATTAATAGATAGGTGCATAATGGTACTATATCGATATAAATTCTTAGTAAAAATAATTTATTTTCAACTTATATAGGCATATCATGATTCACTATATATTTTTAATTAATTTG